AACCCACAAACTGGGTAAAAATCTTAGTGAACTGTCTCTGAAACAAAGGACTTTTGTCTAAAACATATAAAAAAGAATTTTAAAAAATCAGACCCCCAAAATTCAAAGATCCAATCCAAAAATGGTCATCTTAGATGAATACACAATTCTCAGATGAAGAAATACAAATGGCAAATAAATACATGAAAAAATGTTCATCATCCTAGAGAAATGCAAATTAAAACCACACTGAGATTCCATCTCACTCCTGAAAGAATGGCCAGGATCAAGAAAACCACCACCAACAAATGCTGGAGAGGCTGTGGAGAAAAAGGTACTCTCCTGCACTGTTGGTGGGAGTGTAGACTAGTGCAACCATAGTGGAAGTCAGTCTGGAGATTTCTCAAAAAGGTGGGATTGGAAGTCCCATTTGTTCCAGCTATTCCACTTCTAGGCATATTCCCAGAACTGAAATCATTGTACCACAGTGATATATGTACACCCATGTTTATAGCAGCACAATTTGTAATAGCCAGATCTTAGAAACAACTTAGGTGTCCATCAACTGAGGAATGGATAAAAAAGCTGTGGTATTTTTATACAGTGGAGTACTACTCAGCTATAAAGTATGATCACATTGAGATATTTATAAATAAATGCATGCAGCTTGAGACCATACTAATAAGTGAAATAAATCAAACTCAAATGCATAAATACTGAATAGTTTCCCTAGTGTAAGTAATGGTAAGAATACATAAAAGTGTGTGGTAAACATGATTCTCCATTACATTGCTTTGAAGCCTTATAAGGTTTTCATTCATTAATTGGAATGGTTTTATTCTGGGTTGTTTGGTTTTATTGTCTGTGATCATATGAAAAGTTATTCTGAAGGAAACATGACAATATAATAGCTAGTGCTGATTTAATATCATCTTGTTTTGAAGTTCCACCAAGCTTTTATTCTTCTGTCTCCATTGGTTTATCATGCTGTATTTTACTGGATTTTATTACATGTGATAGTATAAACAAAATTTTTTATAGACAAGGAGATAGTATAAAAACCATTGTTTACTTTCTGTTAGTTGGTTCTAAATACCTTGTAATACTGTCATTCTTTTGAATGGTTTTACACTGTCATGTTGTGTTTGATGCTATAATATATGAAGTTATACTCACATATTTCAAGGAAAGAAACACTATGGTAGCTACTGGTATGTCGGGTTATCTTGTGGTGAAACACTATGTTGCTTAAATTGTTCTGACCTGTGTTATTATGTTTTTATGTCCTCTTTTATCTTAATCTCCTGCTTTTTAAAATTTTTTTAATAATAAAAAAACTCCAAAACAATATTATTGGTAATTAAACTGGACTTTCTTGCTGAACTGTAGTCCCAACTTTTTTTTTTTTTTTTTTTTTTTTTACTTTTTCTTTTGAGATGAGGTCTCTAAGTGACTAAACTGCCTAGGCTGGGCTCAAATTTGTAATCCTTCTGCCTCAGCTTCCCAGGGTGCTGGGAACACAGATATGTACCATCACATCTGGGTTGTTTTTATTTTAATTCTCTACCCGTTCTGCAAACAACTTTAATGATGATATTAAAGATAGTTTATCCTAAAGGGTAAATGTAAAATTGATCTTTTAAAAATTTTAGTACAACCCATGAATAGAGTAAATGTTTATGTAGCTCAATGGTAAAGTACTTGCTCACCATGTAAGGTCTTGGGTTCATCCTCAGTATGGGAAAAAAAATGAAGGAAGAAAAAAAGAGAGAAAGAACTCTAAAGTGCTCTGAATTTGCACATGTTATTTTCATAAAATACATAGTTGATAGAAACAAAAAGAACACAAAATTAGGTAAAGTTCTCCCTCCTGAAATGATAATATGATCAGCTTTCCTTTACAATGTAATTCAACCAATGGGAAGTTTCTTCTTGCCAAGAGGGAATAATAGGGTCTGGATTCAGTTGTTTTAACTGGGACAATTTAAAAATATAAAAAGTATATTTAATAACAATTATCAAGATGTTGGTCATCAATGAAAGACAGTAAAGTGGTCTAGTTTTGAATGCCCCCCAACTTCATGTTCACAGAGGCAGTGCTGGTGGAAGGTGATTGAGTCATGGGGCCATGATACTTATCTGTGATTGGCTTAATAGCTGAAGTGCTGGAGGTGGGGACTGGTGACGAGGTAGGTCACAGGCAATCTAGAAGGGTACATCTCCCTCCCTAATACCACCCTTCTATCTGCTTCCTGACCACCCAGATGTGAACAGCTTTTTCTGTGCTGTGCTCCTCTGTCTTGTGGTTCTGTCTTGCAGCTGGCCAACTACTGACTAAATTGTGTTGACTAAACTATTGGCAATCAGTTGAAACTTCTTTTGCTTAGTTTAGAGAGAAATCGTGAATAGGCAAAGTAGTCCTGCTAGTACCCCTGATGCCACTGGACAACAACAGATAATGCTGCTTGACTTTGGTCAGCACAGCCAGCTTTGGGTCACTGCCACCATCCAGAGACTCTGCTAGGTGTTGGTCTCTGCTAGCCACCACTGTTCAATGCCAGTTTATGCCATTGGCTGACTCTGCTAGTTGCTACTCTCTGTTTCTGATGATCATTGGCTGCTGGTCTCTGGAACTCTGTGGGGCTAATAAACCTTAGGGTTTATTGCTCTTTCCTTTAAAATGACTGCTCTGTCTATCCTACTTAGGACAAGAATCCTGAGTAGATTTATAGGACATACTGAGCTCATACTATTTGGGAAATCATGGACAAATTTATAAGACTTCTAGAGAAGGTCTTATACAGAACTTGTATAGTGGAATGGGGGTGAAAGCAATCAATAAACCAGTTAGTGTGCTCCAAGACTAACTGGAGAAGTATGAGAGGAGTGCTGCTTGCTTGCAAGCTTGTGATTGGTCCTAGTGTAATTCCGTGATTGGTTCAAATTTGAACCTGCTGGGCTGGAGATTTAGCTCAGAGGCAAAAGTGCCTGCCCGGCAAGCATGAGGTCATGAGTTAGATCCCCAATAGTACCAAAAAAAAAAAAAAAAAAAAAAGTTGGACCTGCTGATTGCTTGCAAGTGCAGGCCTGTGATGGTTCAAGTGGATGGGAGGCTTCAGGATGGTGATTCAGTGAGAGGAGAGGGCAACAACAGCTGTTTGGTTGACAGTTGTCACATCTTCATGAACAAAACTTTAGTGTTTTCATTCTCTGGTTCCCCACTTTGTTTAATGTTACTACTATAACTACTAAGATCTAGTTATCTCTAGATGGCTAGTTAACTTTACACTATTGCTGTTGAAAACTGTTCTATTCCAACCAAAGTTGTTCCACTTAGTAGATATTTACTATAGGCCAATATTTGGTTTATCTTAGTGTTCATACTATAATTATAGATCTCTTTTCTATGGGTAAGATGTTATGTACATATACCAATTCCCCACAAGGAATGTAAATATTATGTACTGCAAACACATATCAAAAAAACCCCAAAAAACCAGGAATCAAGAGATGGATGGAGAGGGAGGGAGGGAGGGGAAAGGGGATAAAAAATGAATTAAGATGTATTATATACATGTACCAACTCCCCACAAGGAATGTAAATATTATTTGCTACAACAAACCTGTACTAATAAAGAAAACTGTCTGAAAAAAATAAAGATCGTCCACCCTGATCTTTGTCACATCAGTGTGGTTCCTCTTTCCTCAAAGTGGTGGCAGCACATCTAGAGTGGTAGGACAGGGGAGGGACACCATGGCTGACTTGGAGTGGCTGTGGAGCAACCTCATGGGTGGCAGGAGGACCCCGAGGCAAGTTGTTCCCATTCATTCTGTGTTACTGGGGAGCACAGGGTGGCAAAGGAGAGGGGAATGACAGCCATTGCCAACCTACATCACCTCTGCTCTGCACAGCAAAAAGGGGAGAGTCAGGTACTTGCTCCTGTCTCAAGCCCAAAATAAACCCCTCCTTCTCTGAGTTGTGGGTATTGAGTCTTGGCAATGAGAAAATGACTGAGACAGTGATTCCTAAGAGACAGGAGGCAGGTGAAGTGAGCCCTATAATTGCTGCAAGTTACTTCTTAGACTGGGTCAAGTATTAGGAAAGGGAAGTTCAGTGAATCTGAAGGCACCCCTGAGTTGAGGATTGATGCTTCAGGTGTTTGCAAGCAAGGTGGATAGACATCAAGGCAAAAATATCAGAAAGGAAACTGCTGCATAGAGAGAGGACTCCAGGAATCTACAGAGGGTTCCTCTTGAGTATTTTGCTGAGTTTAGATCAGTGCTACTCACCCAGGGCCAAAAACAGTATCAGCCTTCACCAAACAGATTGAAAAAGCTATAAACCATGGAGTAAGGTAAAATGCACAAAGGGTGTAGCCTCAATGATAAGATTAAAGTATAAAAATGAGTTCTAACCTAAATACTATTCTGGTTCTATCTAATGAAGTTTAAAAGAACAATCTGAAGGTGTCATATTATTTCCAAGAAACTTAACTACATGTTATCACAAAATGCAAAAATAGACAGAGGTGGTAAAAAAAAAAAAAAGTACACATACTTCAGGAAAAGAAAACCTTGTACAAACATTTTATCTTTCTTTTTTTTTTCCCCCCAGTACGGGGGATCGAACTCATGACCAAGCGCTTGCAAGTACAAACATTTTAATACTAAATGTGAGGCATCATGAGAGTAATACAAATTATCTTTGGCCTCTACGATTAGAACTGGTGCTCAAAGTGATGACCATTAGCTTCCAACATATATTAGTATGCTGAACAGCTCCTTGGGTAACCTTGGTCATTGAGATTGCTGTACATGAATTTTCATTTTTTTCTCTAAGGAACAGTATGGTGGTGGTTTTCCCGCAATATATGACATCCTATAATACTCCCCCATATGAGGATAATACTATCTGTTGAAAAAATATCATACTATTTTTTTCTTTTCCTGAAGTGTGTATACATGTTTTGGTGGAGCCTTTACATATATCTAACATCTAATATTCACAAGGCCAAACTCACAATGTCTGGTATCCAGTGAAAGACTGCCAGGCATGCAAAATAGCAGAAAATTGTGGTCCATAATGAGGAGAAGCACCAGCCAATTGAAACTGATCTAGAAATGACACATATGACAAGAATTAGTACACAAAGAGTTAATATATTTCTCCTGGCCGAGAAACTAAAGAAAAGCTGGAGCATATTAAACATAAACATATATTTTTTAAAAACTCTAACTGAACTTCTTAAGATGAAAACTATACTAAAACGGAAAATACACTAGGTATAACGAACAGCAATTAAACACAGCAGAAGAAACTAATAGAATTATAAAATAGCAGTAGAAACTATCCAAAGCTGAAAACTAAAAATAAGCAAAAAAAACCCAAAACTAAAAATAAGCATGGCATATGAGTTGCCTAATGTACACAAATTAGTCTGTGAAATAAAGAAATGAGGGAACAGACAAAATACCTGAAGAACTACTACAAATTTTTTAATTTAATTAAAATTATAACCCACAGACCTAACAAGTTCAATCAACTTCTAGAGTTTAAGAAACTTGAACATCATAGCATATCATAATTCAGTTCCTTAAAACAAATAATAAGCAGAAAGTCTTTTAAAAAGCCAGAAGAGCCAGGCATGTTGACACATGCATAGAATCTCAACTACTTGCGAGGTGAAGGCACAAAGATATGAAGATTGTAAGCAAGTTCAAGGCCCTCCTGGGCAGCTTAGTAAGAGCCTGTCTCAAAATAAAAATGAATAAATGTTTAAAAGAGGAGGGATGTAGTCTGGAGCTCCCTAGGTGGAAGCTCCATATCAAAAGGAGGAGAAGGGGGTAGGGAAGGGAAGAGGGAGAAAGAAAGGATAAGATGGAGGAAGCGGAGGGAGGGGAGGGTTATGGAAGGAAAGGGAAGAGAGAGAAAAAGATACATTATATAGAAGTGAGTAAAAATACCAAATTTCTCAACATAAAAAATGAATTTAGGAGACAGTGGAGAAATAGCTTTAAGTTATTGAAAGAAAAAATACAGTCAATTTAAAATGGTCTTGAAAAATTAAGACATTTCCAGCTATTAAGAAGTTCAAGGAATTCATCAGCAGAGGGGTCTAACAATAGGAAATATTGAAATGTTTCAGGCAAAATAAAATAATACCAAAAGCAAATATGGATTTACATAAAAGAATGGAAAGCTCTAGAAATAGTTAACTATGTGAGTAAATTCAAACATTTCTATGTTTATTTTTAAAATCTCTTTAAAAGACAATTGACTAAAAAAAATAACAACAATATATTACCCAATTTTCAAAACAAGAAGGGAAATGTTAATAACGCATTAGAGAAATGAAAGGTACTGTTCCTAGGTTATTGTACTTTGTGTGAAGTGATATAAAATCACCTGAAGGTACTCCAAGTGTGGTTTGGATCTAAAACATCCCCCCAAAGCACATAGGAGGATTGGTCCCCAGTGCAGCAGGTTCGGAGGTAGGGCTTTTGGAAAGCAATTGGATTGGGGGCTCTGGCCTCATCACTGAGTTAGACAAGTGGTAGTGAACCTACGGCCCATGTGCAACTGTTGGCTCTTTGTATCTCTGAAAGCTCTATGAGATTCATCATCACTAATGGAGCATAGCTTCACAGGCCAGTTTTTGTCCCTTTCCTTCACCTTCTCCCTCTTCCTCTCTTTCCTGGCATCTTTGCCTGCCTTGAGCTCCCCACAATGCTGTTCAACAGGGTCCAGTGACCACAGACAAAAAACTTTCAAACTAGGAGCCAAAATAAACCTTTTTTCTTTTAATTTTCTACTGTATTTTGCATAGCAGTTGAAAGCTGAATAACACAGTAGTCAATGATAAAGATATATACTATAATAGTACAACAAAAAATTGAAGCTGATAAATCATAAGGATTAAAATAAATCACACAACATTCATCTGGACATCTTCAGGAACTAGAAAGAATGGCAAACCAGTCTTACGCTCAAAGAGGGAAAGAAATAATAAAGATTAGTACAAAAATAAATAAAAAGAGGATAAAAAACCAGAAATTCAATTGAATCAAAAGATGATTCTTTGAAAAAAAAGTCAAGAAATTGTCAAACCTTTAGCTATATTGACTAAAAATAAAACTCAAAATACTAAAACCAGATGAAAGTATAGCTATTGCTACCAATTCTATAGAACTAAAAAGGATTCTAGTGGGGAGGGTGGCATATTCCTAGAATTTCAGCACTTAGGAGGCTGAGGCAGGAGGACTGCTGAGAATTCAAGGCTAACCTGGGCTACATAGTGAGTTCAAGGCTAGTCTAAACTGCATAGTAAGACTGTTTCAAAAAAATTTTTTTAAATAGAAATAAAAAAGGATTGCAGGATGAAGCTATGATAAATTGTATTCCAACAAATTGGATGGCTTAGGATGAAATACCAAAACTGACCACAAATACCTGAATTAGACTTACAGCTAGAATAAAAACTGAATTCGCAATCAAAAACCTTCTACTATGAACTAAATTGTGAACCTCTCCCATTTTTAGGGGACATTGAATTCCTGACTTCAGTATGGTAGTATTTGGAGATGTGGTCTTTGGGAAGTAATTAGGTTTAAATAGGGTCAAGATGATGTTGGCACCCTTAAAAGAAGAGATATAAATGCCCTCAAGTTCATCCTTTGCATGGTGAGGATGCAGTGAGAAAACAAGAGTCTGCTAGCCAGCAAGCGACCCCCCTCCAGCACCTGACAGAGCTGGTACTCTCATCTTAGACCTCTCAGCCTCCAGACCTGTGAGAACTAAATGTCTGTCACTGGAAGCCACACAGTCTGTAGTAGTTCGTTATTGTAGTCCAAGCAGATTAGTACATGTTTCAGTCTAAGCAAAGATGCAGGACCAGGTCTTCATTGGCAAAGTTTACCAAAAATTTATAGAACAATTAGTGTCAAGCTGGGCTGGTAGTACATGCCTGTATTCCCAGCACTTGAGAGGCTGAGGCAGGAAGATCACCATGAGTTGGAGGCCAGCTTGCACTACATAATGATACCCTCTCACAAAATCAAAACAAAGAATTAGTATTATCTTTCTCATGCATACTATTTCCCCAAGTTGAAAAGATAAGAATATTTCCTAACTTTTTCTAGAGGACCAGCATTGTCTGGTTACCAAAGCAATTAAGGAAATCCCAAGAAAATTATAAACCAGTATTCTTTTTTTTTTTTAACAGTAGCAAAATTTTATTAAAGGTGGGAAGAGAAAAAGGCTCTGTAGGGTGAGTTTGGGTCAAGTAAAAGTAAGAAAAGAAAGCATGGCCTACAGTGTGAGGACAGGCCACTATGCTGAAGAAAGCACAATGACCATAAACCAATATTCTTTTTTCTCTTTTTTTTTTTTTTATTGGTCCCAGGGATTGAACTCACAACCTTGCACTTACCAAGCAAGCACTTGAACTGCTGAGCTAAATCGCTGGCCCTAAACAAATACTCTTTTTTTTTGTCTTTTTCCTTTTTATCGGTACTGGGGATCGAATTCATGACTGCCTGCTTGCAAGGCAGGCGCTTATGCTGCTGAGCTAAATCCCCAGCCCCTAAACCAATATTCTTTATGAATATAGATACAAAAATCTTCTAGGGAAAAAACTAGCAAACTTAAGCAACATATTAAAAAGACTGCAAGCCATGACCAACTGGGACTTATCTCAAGAATGAAATGGTAGCTCAACATACAAAAACCAATCAATGTAATATACTACATTCACAAGAAAACGATAAGAAAACAACATGATTGTCTCAGGTGAGGCAGGAAAAGGCATTTGACAGAATTTGCTCTTTCTCATGCTAAAAAGAATAGTCTAGGCCAAGTCTGATGTCTCATGCCCGTAATCCCAGCACTCAGGAGGCTAAGGTTGGAGGAATCTGTGAATTTGAGGCAACCTGGGCTACACAGTGCTGACTGCACTATAAAGAGAGACCCTGTGTCAAAAACAAAAAGAAAGAAAAAAAAGCCAAAAATAAACAAATAAACAAAATAATCTTGAAAAGGAAGACTAAAACTGAAATATTCACATTTCCAGTTCTAGACCTTACTATGAAGTAATAGTAATCACAATAGTGTGGTACTGGCATAAGAACAGAACAGGCATTTAAACCAGTAGAATAGAATAGCCCAAAATAAAATTTCACAAAAATGGCCATTGTTCAACAAGGGTGTCAAGATCATTCAATGGGGGAAAGGGTAATCTTTTCAACAAATAGTGATGGCAAATTAGATATCCATATGCAACAGAATGAAGCTGGATCCTTACCTCAGACAATATACAAAAAAAGAAAAACAAACACCCAAAATCAATTAAAGAACTAAATGTAAGAGCTAAAGCCAAGAACCTAGAAGAAAATAGAGGAGAAATATGTATGATTTTGGATCTGGCAATAGGCTGAGTACGCATTAAAAGTACAGGCAACAAAAAATAGACAAACCAGAATTAATCAAAATTAAACACTTTTAGGACTGGGACTGTAGCTCAGTGCTAGAGCATTTGCCTAATACACACAAGGGTCTGGGTTTGATCCCCAGTATCATAAAAATTAAATTAAATTTATAAAATTTATAAACTAAACACATTTTTGCATAGCACAGGACAGTATCACAAAAGTGATAACACATGGAATGGGAGACAATATTTGCAAATAAACCTGGGAAGAGAGTTATATCCAGAATATATAAAGAAACTTCTGCAACTCCCCAACAAAGTATCAAACAACCCAATTGACAAGTAGACAAAAAACAAATACATATTTCTCCAAGAAGATATATAAATGGCAATAAACACAAGAAAAGATGCTCAAGGTCATTAATTATTAGAGAAATACAAATAAAAATCACAATGAGATGCTCATACCCACCAGGATGGCAGTTACAAAAACAACAGAAAGCAAGTATTATTAAGGATATGGAGAAATCAGGATCCTTGAGCACTAATGACAGGTATGTAAATAAGTGGTGCAGCCACTATGGTGTGCAGTGTGTGAGGTCACATGGCTTCTCCAAAAATTAAAGATAGCCAAGGATGTGGCACACACCTATTAATCCCAGCACTTGGAAGGTGAGACACGAGGATCACTGTGAATATGAGGCCACTCTGGGCCTCAAGTGAGTTCAAATGAGTCCAGGCTAAATTACATAGCAAAACTCTGCCTCAAAAGAATCAACAAAAAAAGAGGATGTAGTTCAGTGGAACACAGCTGCCTAAGATGTGCGAGTTCCTGGTTCAATCCCAGCACCGAAAAAAAGAAAGAAAGAAAGAAAGAA